AATCGAGTACGTCAATGTAAGTGTGACGTTTTAATGGAAAACTCGTCGTGAATACATACACATGAGAATAACCAGTAGAAGTTCCGTTTACATGTGTATTATATATAAAACCTGCTTCGCAATCGTATGTGTGTCCTGTTTACATTATACATATACACACATACATTCTAAATCGCAGAAGTGTATTTATCATAAACGTATACCCGATACACATGTATAAAAGTATAAACCTGTGCTCCGTGATCTTCCGCATTTTACATTTAACTTTTACTATTCATGAATTCCTTCCATAAATGAAAGAGAAAGAAAATATATATTTGAAAAATCTCTTTCCTTTATGATAATCACTCGGCTCAAGTTAAAAATTTAACATAACTTCCCGCATATCATTAAAACGATGAATATTCATGTTTATTTAATAGCAGTGATTATTAATTGATAATAATGCTTAACGCAGTTGCAAGTAATTATTATCTAAAATTAGTAAAAAAAAAATAGAGCGGATGTTTGAACGAACACGAAGATGTTGTTTCACACTATAAATAAAAATCCCCTCAATTTATTATTCCACATTTATTTTTAGGCAAGCGTGATCTCACTTATTGATTTTGTTCACGTAGTGCGAACATACGTATAAGCGCTCGTAACTTTGTCAAGATAGAAATTACGTACGAAATATAACGCAAATCTTTTGTAAAGTAATTCTGTAAGTAATCATCTACGATGATATAAATATAGTAATTATCATAAATTATTAAGAATTTGGAGTAGATTTAAGATCTTTATTAAAAAGATAATCGATTTTTTTAAATTGCATTTTTAAAATCCTATATATGTAGAATGCTTGAAGTAATATGAATAATAATTGGTATGAATGTCTTTTCATAACACTTAATTTAAAAATATAATAATGCAATTGATAACACAAAATTGCTTAAAGATTGAAATTACTCGTCACATTCTGTTATAATATTGAGAGAATCCGAACTGATACATAACGCAAAATTTATAAAAGTTTCTCTGCTTGTCTTAGCTTTAAATCTGGTTTAGATTATTGAAAAGTAGCTGTTTTTTAAGAATTTTTTATGAACCATGAAGCCGATCTTTCCGAAACTTTAAGGATGATTTCTTATATCTATATTTAAACAATACAAAAGAATTTTTTTAATAAATAAATAATGGAGCCTGTAATTCTTAGCTGAAACAAAAAAACCAAAAATTTTTTTTAATTAGATAATATTTTATCTTCAATAAACTAAAAAAAATAAAGGAGAAAAGTGGCAAATTGTAAGAAAGAATTGTGGAACTTTGAACAAAAAGTAACGACTTTGAACAAAAAATTTTGATTTATTTATGCAGAAGAATTGTTTACACTAATTTTTTAATAAATATTTTTAGTTCATTTAGAGTGGTTGACAATTATGTAACTAAAAAATCGGGGAAGAAGTCGATTAGTCAAATATTGAGTAATCTTGCGCGTCAATTTCGGAAAAGTGATTTTGAAAATAACGCGTTTAAAGTTTTTGGTATCGAAAAGTAATGCTTTTTGGCAACTTACTGCTAATTTATATTATTCCAAACTCATATAACAAATCTTCCATTTCTTCATAAACTCGCGTTAGTTGTAATCTATGAGCAGTATGGATTTTTTTCGTTTGCTACTTAATCGCTATTAAAACGCCGTTCCTGTCGTTCATAACTCACTGTTCGTCATAATTGGCGACATTTACAATGTTGGCTAATATTTATTTCTTCAGCAATTGCATTATCTTTAAAATGTCAGAATAGCTTTCATTGAAGGCACATGCGGCAACAAAAGCGGCGATTTCGATAATTTTTGCGCCAGAATAAGTGTTTTGGAGCGAGGGTGGAGTCCAAATGATGGAATTAAAATTCTCGTTTGAATTTTGCGTGTGCCCTCTTTAAAAAAATATTTACTAAGGTCAATAATACTAAGGATCGAAAAGCGAACAATAGGCATTTCTGCCTCGTGCGCTGTATATTTGCGCGACGTGTATAACCTGTTCTTCAAACTATAACTACAAAAGTATTTCGAATTTCGATCTAAAATTTTACGAGTATTTTCTGAAAATAATACTAATGATTGAAATAAAAAGAAATCGAAAATGTTGATTCTCTAAACTAGGTTCCTCCCTTAAGCAGATTGGATTTTCTAATGAAAGTCATTGTAAATATAGCATAGCATTCAATAATCTCGTTTGTACGTAAAATTTATATATTAATAACATTCTAGATTTAACTAATATGATTTCTTACATCCTACATAATTATTAAAATAAAAAAGACATATTATATGAAGATTTATTTTAAGTTATCAAAAATTCGATGTTTTATGAGAGAAAAAAGATCATAAATTTTTTTACGATCTTTTTTCTCTCGTTCAATCTCATTCAATATTATTTGTGAGATTATTTGTTTAAATGATATATATGTAACACAGTTAATATTGTTTACTTAAAATAATTTATGTATTATATGATATTCAGGCACGATTGAATTATATAAAATGTAAAAAAATTTTATTTCTCGTATTATTGAGAAACGATTAGCACAACTTTACATCCATGATATAATAATGGTGGACACTTATTACCTATCATCAAACTTCCCGCACGACAAAATGTCCGCAAAGGTGTCCCAGTAAAAAATATTTTTATATATAATTATATATTGAAATAATTATATATGATTACATAAAATATACATGAAATGATATAGATCTACTATTACATACATGAAATAAATCCATATATAATTATATATAATTATACATACTAGTGCGAAAATTAAAAGTTACAATTAATCTAGTTTTATTGATAAAATAAATATTATTGATGAGCATCCTAAAATGTACACAACAAAATTATGAAAAAAAAATGTTGTATTCAAAAATAAATTTTATGATACTTAATTAAGCATGGACGTATTCGGAGGAAGGAGGGGGGAAGAGGGGGAAGTTTAGGAATTCAAATCCTTTTCGAAATTTTTTATTATTTTATTTTGAAAGGATCCTGATAACTCGCATCAGTTGGGTGCCTAATAATTTTTTACTGCTTTACTAATAAGAATATTTTATTTTCAATTGATCAATTAGTAATGTATATAAATATATATATATATATACTAATCATATTAAACACGAATATCTACAATTTCACTGCAAAATTTCGCATTATTGTTCGCTTCGTAAATTTAAAATTGACAATAATATATATTATCTTATATAGAACATCTTGA